GCAAACCCCCCCCCCCGGAAAGGTGCCCCGGAAAGCACAGCGCCACCTTCCCCGCTGTCTCGGGAAAAACATGCCGGGAAGGAGACACGGCTACGGGGACACAATCATCCTGTCCGCATCTTTACCATCCAGCGATTTCACAGTAACTACGTACAGGACCTTGAACCTCGGGGCAGCAGTGGGGCAGCGGGGGGCGGGGTGGGGGGGGAGCCGGGGGGAAGGCAGTGCCTTCGAGCGCGTGCGTGTGTTGGAACAGAACACGCGGGGCCCTTCCTGGAGCCCCCGTCAGTCTCGCGGAACGTTCTCTTGCCAGAATGGAGGGTACCTGACGGAGTTTTGTGTTTTCTGCCTTAGGCATGTCTCGATAGGAACCCAGAAGCTTTCCAACCAAAGATTGGGAAGGGGAAGCCGGGAGACGTGAAGCCTCGACACAACAGAGGCTGTAACTGCAGGAGGTCAGGCTGTCTCAAGAATTACTGTGAGTGCTACGAGGTCAGTCACTCCTCCCTGGGGCTGGTACGAAAACCAACAGGTCGGTATCTGGGCCTCAGTAACCTCTGCGGTTGAGAGAATTGCGTTTTACTGTAATTAAAAAAGAAGTCGGGTTCCGTTTGCTTCCCCCTAAGGTTTCTGTCGTGCACTCGTGTTAATCCACATGAATTTCTCGACGACCAGCCATGCTTTCCGAGTCAAGCAAATTAACCTGGGGCCCCTTCGGGAACCGGTCGCCCGCTCCGAGCCCAGCCCCCGGCGCCCAGCGGAGGCAGCCCGCCGCCCGGCCCCGCCCGCTCTGTGCGGGCCCTGCCTGGCAGAGCTGGGTGCCCAGGCCGGGCGCTCAGAGCCCAGAGCGGGCGGCGGGCCCCGGCCGCCGGCCAGATGCTGGGACACGGCGGTGCAGACCGAGTTCCTGGACGAACCCGTTTCTCAAGGGTTCGGTGGCCGTGGAGGGGCTCGCTCCAGCCCTGCCGCCTTTTCTGTCTCCTTTCTTGGTGTTGGAGGACAGGGAGGCAGAGGAAGGAGCCCGCAAGTCCCAGCAGCAAAGCAGCCAGGAAACCCTCCCTCGAAAGGCTCTCCTTTGGTTCGCTTGCCGTCTTGGGGGGGCGCCTGTGAAGTTTACTTTTAAAAGGTAGTCACAGATGGTCAGGCTTCAGAAGACTCCTTGTGGTTCCGGGGACACGTGTTGGAAGATCTGAGTGAGCAGACCTAGCGATCCCCCGGCTAGGATTTTGCAAATACGGTCAGAGGTACTGCAGAGATGCCAAATTCAGCCAGAGAGCGGCATCGCCCCAGCAGAAGGATCTCCAGGCGCGGACGGCACCTCCAGCCGCCCTCCGCGGTGCCCTCCCTGCCGCCCGAGACAGTGAGCCGCCCGTTTCCCGGAGGCCCAGGCAGATGTCCCGTATTCTCCAGAGTAGGCTAGAAATCCTGAAAGGCCTCTTGCTCAAGACACCCAGAGGTGTAGGTAAAACACAATGGATTCCTCTTGATGTGCGTCTCTGAGCTGAAGAGAACAGAGGGAAATCCCAGCAGCGGAAACAAAGAGGGGGCGGGGAACCGTAGCGCTGGGCAGGCCGGAGTCCAGACCGCCCAGCCGGCGTGAGAAGGGGTCGCCCGGCTGGCCGGGCCAGCTGCCTTGCGACAAGAAACACAAGGAAGTCCGCCCACGAGTAAGCAGGAAGGGCCTCTCCCAGAACACCCACCTCAGGCCTGCCCTCGGGGGGTCTCAGACCCCACCCACCTGCGCGAGCTGGGCCACAGCAGGGCCTGCGCCACTGGGGCCCCCCTGGGGGGGGGGTCCCACGGGGCCCGTTCCAGATCACCGCAGTCAGGCAGCCAAACGAAGGTTTTGGCTTCCCAAGCGCATAGAAAAGTCGTGTCTATATTACACGTGGTCTGGTAAGTGTGCCGTAGCCTGGGGGCGAAAACACAACGTCCACGCCTCCGTTAAGAAATGCTTTGTTGGGAAAAAGTGCCCGCCACCATCTGAGTGCTGGGACGCCCTCACTGCTCACAGAGCACCGTCACAAAAATGTCAAGGCAACGACGAGAGAATGACCAAACTGCGACGCCGAGACACGAAGTGAGCCAATGCCGTGGGAAAAATTGTGTCGACGAACAATTGGGTCAAAAAACTGACCCTGGACGCAGGGTCACCGCAAAGCCTCCGTTTGTGAAAAATGCCATATCTGCCGCTCACACGCCCACACGCTCTTATTTGAGGTCCAGACAGAATGTGTTGCTTTTTGCCGAATTACGAGCAGTCTAATTTCATTGAAGCGTTTTGTCTTACCAGGCCAAAATTATGTGTTCTTCTATTTGCAAATGCATTGGTTGCAAAAATTATGACGAAGGCCCAGAACGGAAAACCCTAATGAGCATGCCCTACCATCCGGACGCTGGAGGGTTTGAAGGCAGCCCTCATTTGTCACCAACTGAATGCGCGGGACTGCCGCAGTTCAGAAAAGACAGGTAGGTGCCGTGAACCCGCCGTCAGAAGAGGGGAAGCAGGTGAATTCGAGGAGAGTCGGTCTATACACTTGGAAAGAAAGTGCGTGTGTCCAGGGGGTGG